ATAAAAAGATACACATTGAAGTTCAAAATCTGTATCAAAAGGCAGTATTTGGGAAGCCATTTTGTTGCCCAAAATGTGCCTCATCACTCATGCCTCCACACTGATATTATTTGTGATTGCATAAACTTACCCAGTGATGTTGCATGTTCCAAGGTAGGGGGTGGGTGTTTTTGACCCCTAACATTATTCAAAGTGGATACATTTGAAAACACCCATCTCTTGTTGTAGTGTGGTTGGAGAATGCAGACAACATTCACTCAGCACCATTGTCATGATACACCTCTTAAAATGGTTAGTGGTGCAGCAGGGCTCCAAGTACGATCTGAACATACTATCTTGATAACAAATTGGCATTTATCATCCTCAATCAAATTCCTTCTTTTTTAATACTCGAGCAATTGCCTGGATCAAAAAGATATGTCAAATACAGAAAAACAGTTAGAGGTATCACAGACTGAGTTGGAAGTAATAAAACAGACCTTTATCGCTAAGACAAATAGGAGTGCATCGGCTTCTCGATTGTAAATCAATCAATAAAATCATACTCCCTTTTAGATGGTGGCAATACTGTGGCTCAGTTTCATTGCCAACTGGCATTACTGTAAGTCAAGTCAGTTTATTTATCCAAATATCACAGATCAAGTTGCCTCAAGGGGCTTTTACAATATGCACAGCAATCACCCCCAGAAAAAACATTACATTTCATCAGATTAAACTTATCATACACACATCTACACATGTGGTGTCATGAACATTTTTAATTATAAATGCTAATAAATAAAATAACCATCCTTTCCATCCTTTTTTGGTACAAACACACTTTCAAACAACAAACAACTTTCAATTTTTCAATTTTCAACTTTCAAATCCAGCTTTAAATGCTGCTGCATACAGCAACAAAGACTATTAGTTAGAGTCTCATTTCCAACACAAAAAAAAGCATGTCTGAGGTACAGGAGCATGAAGGAAATCAGAGACAGTACCCGTCCCAAAACCGTCAAACACTAAACTTTGTTATCTAAAGTATGTTTCCAATTTTATTGTTAGTATTTTATCATTATGCACTCAATTACAGGCTGTGGGTAATGTAACACCTTCTTCTTAATTATTATGTCATTATGATGTTTTACGCTTGTTGTCTTGTGTTCCTGTTTTCATCTGAGAGGCAATGAAACACATTTCCATCAACTTAGTTGACATAAGCCTTTTGTGAAGGTCTGTGTGCATGTTCCTGTGTGTGTGTGTGTGTGTGTGTGTGTAAAAGCCTGCAGAGGAAAAAGTAAATTTAGCACATCAGTTGATTTGCTTTGGAAAAACACCCAATTGGATGCAAGAATAAAAAGACAAATAACATGCAAACAGAACTTAATGCTGCTTATCATAGAGGTCATATTTTCCTCTTGCGGCATCCAGCAGGAGACACCACACAGATGCACACAGCAGTCCAGGCCATAAAGCTGAGCAGCATCAGTGTGTGGTGCACTGAGACAGGCGTCAGGTCACGTAGGGCCACAGAGAAAGAGCCAGGTTGGTAATGGCTTTGGTCTGGACCAGAACTGGTAATAGGATTGGTCTGGATCAGAACTGACAAATTTGTCAGCAGCTGTGCAGCTCCTGGTCTCAGTGAACCTGGGATAAGTGCCAGAGACTGATATCCTAGCTCTCCACCCAGCTCCATCTCTCTCCGGCCAAACCACAAGGTCAAAAAAACAACTATACTTTATACTTTAAAAAATTAGAGATCACGCACTTTGCCTTTTACCCCAAAATCTATTTATGCTTTGAGTTTTTTTCATTTGAGTGGGGGTTAGATACATTATTGTTAGATGATAAACTGGTAACAACTTCCAGCATCACAGTTTGGTTAGGAGGTGATATTTGGTGCTTTTTTATGTCCTCCTAAATGATCCAGTGGGACAAAATTAGTTGGACACAGGGGTGAGATGAAGCACCTGCGAATACAAGATTGCAAAAAAAATACAAAATCATATAGTCAGGCTCATTACTTGACATAAGAAAGAGAATGAGGATGTCAAGTCATGGTAATTATCAACTGAGTGTGTCTAAAACATAAAATCCCGACAGTAATACTTACTAATACTAATACTAATAAAATAATAATTAGTGTTTACCAGTCAATGTACTCTGTTTGTACTATGTTTTCATGTTTATTCAAAAAAGTCCATATTCAGTTTACTTTAAAAATCAAAAGCAGTGACTGGACATTGAATTAACAGCATGCTTGTACAGTCGCCCAGTTGGCAATGTCAAATTACTGGCTGTGACATGTGGCTACACACATGGAAACACACACACACACACACACACATACAGACATATGGCTAAGTTGCTGCCCCACTGCGTGACAACCCATCTCTTGGCTCTGTAATAATCACAGAGTAGCAGTACAGTAAAAACAGACGAGGTTTACACTACATTTCTCCTAGCATCCATATGTGTGCCCATGCAAGCATAGGCATACCAACACACATGCACAGCCACAAGGACAAACGCACATACACACACAAAAACATCAGTGTATGGGTTTCCACTTTGGGCATCAAACCACACTCTCTCAAGTTTTTGCCGTGGTTTTTCTTTCCTTCTCTCTCGTTTTTTCGAGTATTGCCCTGGACCTTGTTCCAAACCCATAGGCTGATGTTTTTACAAGACTTAGACACACACACACAGCACCCTGCACGTGGAGAGACCTAGCCCTGGTTGACCTACATGTTGGCCCAGGCATGCAGCCAGGGTGGAGCTGATGGAGAACCTGGGCCAGTGCCTTAAGATTTTAACTGCTGCCTTCACTGGACATTTACTAATGGAGACACTAACATCGATATGTTATGTGACGGTACTTTAATCCAACGTCAGTTTTAACGCGTTTTGATAAAATGTGTATATATAATTTTAACTGTGTTTATGTGTGTCCATTTTAGGCTAGGGATGTTTTCTTATATGTTTTTCATATGCATTCACAGCAGTTGGAGGAGCACCTGATGATAATTAAATGGATTATAAATAATCTTATGTTAGAAAAGACAATCACACTGCACACACATTGTTGGAAAAAAATATCACTTTAGGAATTAAAGCATTAAAATCCTTTTGAAACATTACCGTTAGACATAATTTCATTGATTTAATATCTGATTAATAATGGCAGTAAATGATGTGAATGCCGCATTTCTTTTCAATGCAAGTATAGGTAAAAGCTTATTGGACTGTACTAATAAATCTGAGAAAACTAATAGTGACTGCTTACAGTTTTGATCGTGTAGTGGAATATGTGTTAAAGGAAAAAAAGATGTCGGACCAACATTTGTACACAAAGTTTCCATGCTCTATTTGGACAGCAGGCAACAAGCACCAAAATATGAGAGAGGAAACTGCACACACTCACACACATACCTATGTGTGCACACCTGTACACCCACCAACTCATACACACACACATCCACAGGCCCAGGCTTTTCTACCACAGCAATTCTGATGTCTAAAGTGGAGCCACTGCCCCACTTTAAACACATTCCCCATCTTTTAGACTGCACTGGCTCACTTTAACATTCATACTGTACCCACATACAGTGCATACCATGGTTTCTATGTGTATATTGACTGGTATTCAAGTGGTATAGGCACGCATTAACAGCCACCACCACATTTGACCACACTCAGACACATGTACAAGAAGGGCCTATTTGAGACATAAAAACAAAGTGTGTGTGTGTGTGTGTGTGTGTGTGTGTGTGTGTGAAGTTCAAAAATCCACATTTTACTTGCATGTAATCTCTTTCTCATGCCGGCACATATGCCCACAAGCACATACACTGAGGCTATGTACATGCACAAGCTCACACACATGACATTAGGTATGTTTAAACAACCGTTTCCTGGTGCAGTGTGCGGGGCTGCACTGGGTCTGGCTGGGGCCTCCGGGTGATTTGTCAGTTCGAGCCATGCGGGCCGGGAAACCCTCAAAGTTTGCCTTGGGTTCCAGAGGGACATGCTCTGGACCCCTGAATTCCTGGCCATGGTATGCACTCTGCTTCACCCGCTGGACCCTCACCCCTGAATTGAATGACACACACACATACTCGCACACAGATGAGAACATAAGCACACATATATGCAAAGAGATGGTGTACATTTTTAAAAAGTGGACACATTTGCACATTACACACATACACTTACATATACAGCACGATTATTGTTCGAGGCCTTCCCAATTCCTTTAAACCCATGAACTTCTAATGAGTGGATGACAGGTTTATCTTAAAAACCAAGGCCAGCTAGATAAGTTAAACAGTTTTTGTTTTTGAGGTCATTGTTTGTGGTGTTGTTATATTGTAAGGAGTTCCTGTTATCTTGTCAATCCCTGTTATCTCCTCAGCACAATAGGAAAAGAAAATATATTTCATTATATTTTCATGAACTAATGCATTCAGTGCATTTTTTTTTTTTTACGAATATTTACTGTGTCTACATGCACTTTAGAGACTACTAAGTTCTTCTAAATTGAGTTTTTTCTGAATGCACCTGTTTTTAAAACAAAAAAATTATTTAAAAAATTTAATTTGGAGATTTATTCTTACCTAACTTATTATTCTTCTGGTTATTTAGTTTTTCCCCCATTTCAGAATATTTTTATCTTCTATTTTACTTTATTCTTTGAAAATAATATATGAGAATTTCTACATTGTCTTGTGTATCTTTTACACATTCTCCTTACTTTTGAAAGGTGCTATACAAATACCCAGAACAGTAACAACAAATGTTATCATTCCAAACGTCTATCATAGGGTGGGAGAATTTGAGAATCACTGTGGAAACCTATTTTTAATATTAACACCCAATGTGTAAAATAAGCATGCAATTCCATCTTATCTAGGTGTGGTAGACAGCATCTTCTCAGAGGAACTTTCTTCTTATTCTGCTCCTACAACTATGTGACTCAATTTCCCAGCAGGCACTGCCAGCAGGACTCTCAGCCAATAGTCATCTTCTGTGCACGGAGCTCCGAAAGAAGAGGGAAGTTCAGTTTGTTTACATCGCGGGAAGAAAAGCTTGTCTTCTTGTCTGAAGACATCTACAATGAACGGAGATAGCTGACTTCAGCTCTGTGAATATTTCAGTTTTATTGTTTACACGTAAGTCCATATTTGAAGCTACTGTTGCTAACATTTGTCCGACTGTAGAGTGATTCACTTGCTAACAAGCTAATAACACACAGCTGAGATAACGGTAACGCTAGCTCCTCGCAAAGAAGGATGAAAAGCAGGTGTATTTACTGTGTCGTGACGTAATTCGACACTGTCTGACATACAGCAGTTGTGTTTTGAAGATGCTTTGCATCTATAAAATTTAACTGACATAGCTTTCACCATGTGTAACCTAACTAACTTACAACTGAGTGGAGGAAATACTGACATCCTGCGGTGTGGTGTAGGTGTTGCACCCAAACGTTTTACTCATTAGGTAAGTTAGTGTTGGTGGGGAAACTGTCAGGCAAACATTAGTAATTTGCTTTGTATCACTTTAATGGTCACAAAGCCGTGTGTCCTTGTGTTTTTGTGTTTTCATACACTGCCTAGGTGTGTCTTAGATCAGGGTGAGGTGTGAGGTGGGCCTCCCCAAGGGGGCTCCAAACAGTTTTAGAGGCTCAGTGAATGGAAATAAAACAATATTACATTACTTATTGCATTGGGTATCAAAAGGAGGTCACATAGAATAGCCTATGTGTTTGAGTTCAGAGATACAGTAGTTTTGGGGAACTGTTTTCCCCCCATCAGAGTCAAAAATTAATAAATGCCTTAGGACAGACCTTTTTTAAAACTATTTTTGTGTAGTCAGAAGTTATGTCAAACTGCAATTTAAGTTTATCTTGGCCCAAATGTTGAGTGTCTATGGGATCAAATACTATAATCATGATCCCATAGGCATCCAGAAATTGAGCGAAACTTATCAAGTAAACTAATGAAGGGGGGCGTTTCCCAAGCTTTGTCTGAGGGGAGACCCACAGTGTCAGACTTTGAAAACCCCTGTCTTAGATCAAGTGTCACACTCTGTGTGTCTTTGTCTTGAGAATAACATTCCATTGAAAAGTACAGGTTAGGGCTAAAGCAGTTAGTTGATTGATAAGTCAATTGATAGAAATGTAATCTAATTTAATCGTTTAAGTACTTTATCAAGCTTAAATGTGAAACGTTCTCTGGTTCAAGTTTTTCACATGTGAGGCTTTGCTGCTTTTCTCTGTTTATATAATTTTTATACTGAATGTATATGTATACTGGATAAACTAGAAAATTGGACATTACCTACCTTGGGCTTTGGGAAGTTGTGATGAGTAGAATAGAGCTGGCTTAATCAACAGAAAATTAATCTGCAGCTATTTTGATAATCGATTCAGATGTCAAACATTCTCTAGTTGCAGCTTCTCAGCTGATGAATTGATTCTGTTTTTTGTCATCTTTGTTATCGTAAACTGAATATATTTGGGTTTTGGACTGTTGATCAGATGTCACCATGGGTTTCTGACATTTACTGACCAAACGATAAATCGACAAATCGATAAATGAAATGGCAGTGTAAATAATGAAAATTTTGTTTGTGTTAGGGTTGAGATCTGGCGACTAGAAAAGTCATAGTATATGATTCACATTATTTCCATACTCATCAAACCATTCAGTGACCCTTTCGTGCCCTGTATGGATGCACCTCCCCTGGTTATGTTTCTACTTTCATTTATTCAGATGTTGACGTGTGGTGATTGCATGTGGACTAGTGATAAATGTCACATTGTAGGAGCAAAATGATAAAGAAATATAGCCATAACATTATGACCACTGACAGGTGAAGTGAATAACACTGATTATCTCCTTACCAAGGCGCCTGTCAGTGGGTGGGATATACAGTCCACCTGAACCAAAGTATTCACAGCGCTTCACTTTTTCCACATTTTGTTATGTTACAGCCTTATTCAAAATGGATGAAATTCATACTTTTCCTCAAAAGTCTACAAACAATACCCCACCCATAATGACAAGGTGAAAGAAGTTTATTTGAAATCTTTGCAAATAACAACAAACTAAATAAAACAAAATAAAGCTTATGGCTGCACGATTTGGAGAAAAAGTCGTATTGCGATTATTGTGGACATTATTACGATTTGCGATTGCAATTTCATTTATAATGCTTAATTATGAAGGAATGCGCGAAATACTGACATTTTGAAATGTGTATTTCTAAACTTGAACAAAGTTAAACAATATTTATAACAATAACTAGTAAAACAGAAAAAGGGGAACAAGTTGCTCAACGGAGGAGGCGGCTAGAAGCAGCACATATTGGCACACTGGCACCCTGGCACCAGCTCAGTGTACATCTGTCTACTGCAGAGTCTCTATCCACAACCTGGAGGAGGAACTGTACACGAGTGTATTAAATAAAGAGTATAATGTTTAGTTAGTTTACAGTACAATAATATATTAAATACAACATTCATTAAAATTTCATACAATACTGTTTTTACCACTAGTTGAATATTAAATCCAGTTACAGCTGTTTCATTTCTGTGGGTTGTCTTTATTCATCAAATCCTTATGCAAGCAAAATGCTCTACATTGGTCTCTAATTTGTTAAGTAACTTACTAACTTAATCATATTGTTCAACATGTAATGATTTGCTGTAGCATGTCAAACTTTTTTTGACATGCTAAAAACAACTAAAAGGCACCGATACAGCTAGCCAAACCCAAACCTTCCTTATCTTCTCACAGTTGTCTTCTGTCTTAACGCTTCAGCTGCTGCCGATATCTTTCTTTCTCTGTCACAGAGCGCCACAGAGCGCCTGGAGTACTGGCATTTGTCTTGGTGCTCCCCTGGCGAGTCCGACTATGTTTTGAACGTTTAGCGGCGGGACGGGGAGGGGGGTTACGTTAGGTTGTCTTAAAAGTTACTCGCACACTGCTCTTATATCATTTTTCTCATTGCAGATAATGAGCAGCCTGCAGCACACACACAGAAGAGAGTGTCTTACACACCTTTTCTGTTTTAGTAAATCGCACACTTTTTTGTGGTTATGTAACCGCACATGACGACATTGTTATTGAGATTAGATTAATCGTGCAGCTCTAATAAAGAACGTGTACAAGTATTCACATAGTCTTTGCCATGACACTCAAAATTGAGCTCAGGTGCATCCAGTTTTCACTGATCATCCTTGAGATGTTTCTGCAACTTGATTGGAGTCAACCTGTGATAAATTCAGTTAATTAGACATGATTTGGAAAGACACCTGTCTATATAAGGTCCCACCGTTAACAGTGCATATCAGAGTACAAACCATGCCATGAAGTCCAAGGATATGTCTGTAGACCTCCGAGACAGGATTGTATTTGGAGGCACAGATCTGGAGAAGGGTACAGAAAAATTTCTGCAGCATTGAAGGTCCCAATGAGCACAGTGGCCTCCGTGATCCGTAAATGGAAGCAGTTTGGGGCCACCAAGACTCTACCTAGAGCTGACCGCCCGGCCAAACTGAGCCATGGAGGTGACCTCCAGTGTGTCTCTGTGGAGAGAGGAGAACCTTTCAAAAGAACAACCATCTCTGCCGCAATAGTAAGGCCTGTAGAGTGGCCAGATGGAAGCCACTCCTCAGTAAAAGGCACATGACAGCCTGCCTGGAGTTTGCTAAAAGGTACCTGAAGGACTCTCAGACCTTCAGAAACAAATTTCTCTGGTCTGATGAAACAAAATTGAACTCTTGCCTGATGTCTGGAGGAAAACTCAATGCACTGCTCATCACCATTCCTACAGTGAAGCACGGTGGTGGCAGCATCATGCTGTGGGGATGTTTCTCAGCGGCAGGAACTTGGAGACTAGTCAGGATCGAAAGATGAATGCAGCATTGTACAGAGACATCCTTGACGAAAACCTGCTCCAGAGCGCTCTGGACCTCAAACTGGGGTGAAGGTTCATCTTCCAACAGGAAAATGTCCCTAAGCACACAGCCAAGATAACAAAGGAGTGGCTACAGGACAACTCTGTGAATGTTCTTGAGTGGCCCAGCCAGAGCTCAGACTTGAACCCAAATAAACATCTCTGGAGAGATCTGAAAATGTGCAGCAATGCTCCCCATCCAACCTGATGGAGGTTGAGAGGTCCTGCAAAGAAGAATGGGAGAAACTGCCAAAAAATAGGTGTCGAGCTTGTAGCATCATACTCAAAAACGACTAGAGGCTGTAATGGTGCCAAAGGTACATCAACAAAGTATAGAGAGAAGGCTGTGAATACTTATGTACTGTTGCTGTGCTGTGTGCTGTTTTCGGTTTTATTTTTAATAAATTTGCAAAGATTTCAAACACACTTCACGTTGTCATTATGGGATATTGTTTATTGAATTTTAAGGAAATTCTTTCAGCCGTGCCACAAAGCAAAAATGGTTGAGTTCATGGTGTTGACTTGGCCTCCAAATTCCCCAGATCTCAGTCCAATCGAGCATGTGTGGGATGTGCTGGACAAACAAGTCAGAACCATGGAGGCCCCGCCTCGCAACTTACAGGACTTAAAGGATCTACTGCTAACGTCTTGGTGCCAGATAACACAGCACACTTTCAGAGGTCTGGTGGAGTCCATGCCTCAATGGGTCAAGGCTGTTTTGGCGGCAAAAGACGGACCTACACAATATTAGGCAGGTGGTCATGATGTTACGGCTGATTGGTGTATAATTACATTACCCTAAATTAGTTGAACAAAACTGTTCCTTTTATAATTATTATTGAGACAACCTTTACACTCGTCTCATTTAATGCAGGTGTTATTAAATAATACACAGGCCTACTGAAGCATACAGAAGTAAATTTGTAAAAAGAAGTGATGTTTCACTGATTTGATTACACTGAAATAATGTCAACAATCTCATAATTGGAACAGCAAACTCACTCTTACCCAAAGTCCACAAGCTTAGTTGAACAAATCTTCAAAGATAATATTTGACCAGTCACATCTCGTTCCTGCTCCAGAATGTGTTCAGCCAACAACAGAGTTGCTGTCGAGTGTGTTTATGTGCATGTAGTGAACATATTTTTTGTTGCCTGTGTGACGTGTGTTTGCGTGACTTTGTGTAAATACAGTATATATGCCTGTGTGTACATGTAACTGTCTGTGTGTGACAGAGTTTGTAGGTGACACTGTCTGCTACTTCTGCAGTTCTTTTCCCACCTCTGCTTTATTGAAAACTGAGCCCCCTATACAAGTCAAAAAAGAGTTGTTTGTTCCTAATTTGGTTGGGCTTTTTTCCACCCCAAAAATGAGTATTTATATATTCATCAGCGAGCCATAGGGGCTTTCCAGCAGAGATGATGGCAAGACATTAAACAAATCGTGTGTAACGAGGTGCTCATAAAACACAACCCTGTGGTGTCTCACACAGACCTATCATTATGGCAAAAACCAAATACACACACACACCATTCTCAGGCTATATACAGACGTGAAACACATCCTCACACACACCCTTGTGATCTGCCCCCCACATTTTTCTCTCCGTCATCATAAAAGGTGAAGAATGTAGTGTTTATTTCTGTATGTGCGTGTGAGAAGGCTTGATCGCCTGGAGTTTGAGCGTTACATTGTGGTTGTAAGAGATTAACGTAACCAGATTAACACACTATGCTTCAATTTATTTTCCACTTATTATTACTTCCAATTATTATTTTATTATCCACTTCTGCTCTAATAGGAAATGGGGGATGATGTGGGCCACACATGTTTATTAGAGGTACAGCCCAAAAGTTAGCAGGCTGATATTATTGGCTGATGTTGGTTTATCCAGATATATTAGTATTGATGCATATTTTGGCAGATAAGCAAAAACATTTTCACTACAGATATGTTTTCTGCAATTTTATATATATACGACACTGTTTCTTTAAATTTAAGTTATTTACACGTAACATAAATGGAATTGTTTTTTATATGTTTTGTGTATATATTTATGATTACAATTGACTTTATAATAAAGGCACATTCACTATTTACTTTAGATAACAATGTGTTGACTGAAGTTATGGTAATATTATAAATACCCAAGTATTTTCAACAGTTGGAGATTTATTACATATTTTATTTAGTTAGCAGATGACGAACTTGCTGTGTGAAAAAGTTACTCTTTTTCCCTTGAGGTTAAAGCACCCTGTGAAGAAGCCCCATTTCTATTTACATTCAGGCTTTCTTACCAAAACACACTGTGTGTATCCTTGAGGTCTAACAAACATGTTGAATGGATTTCCTTCCTCGTAAAATAAAACATTTAAAATCCTGCATTGATTACATCCACGATCATTAGCGTGCAGTCTCCTCTACTGCCTTTGTTGGTGTGTAACATGCATGCCTACAAGCGTCCTGTGGACCCACTTGTAAACATTGCTCCATAGTATTCCTTGTGGTCAAACTACACAGCTAACCTCAGCGGAGTTGCTTTTTGTTTGAGGCCAGGTGGCCCGTCTCTGCTATAAAACACTTTGGAAATCCTTGAATTTCTCTAAAACATATCAGGATAGTGATATGGCACATTAAATATTATGTGAAGTCAAGATCACAATGAAAAAATGTTGACATTGCGCAGCCCTAATAGCCACAAAGTAAAGATGATCAAGCACACATGATAAGATATTTGTGTTTATAGCATAATCATTGTGATTGACTATGGTTTTGTTCTTTGTCTCACTTAGGATCTCGCTTAGGTCCTAAGTACATTCACCTGGACAAGCAGCAAAATGTCTCAGCTGCAGCCACTGACCAAGTGCCAACAAACAGCTGAGCCCCTGCTGAATGTCCAGGAGATGCAGTTCTGGCTGAACAAAGCAGTGGCCTGGAGCCAGGCTGACAGCCCAGACACGCAGAAAGACACCTGCCTGCATCTGAGCAGACTGAGGGATTTCCTCCAACATCTCCTCACACATAGCAACAACATGGTGAGCTGATACTGGCAGTAGTTGAGCTTATTTCTTCACATTTTTTCCTTTTATTAACTTTGTCAAAATGGAAGGGAAGTTCTGAGATTTATACACATGACACATTTGGTTAGTCCTGCTTCTACACTGTATTTCCCAGATGCCTGTTAAGTCAATTAAAATGGTCTGTATTCACTAAGTGGCCTTTTACAGGCTTGACTGGAGGTAAAACGATGCCATAAATATTGAAAATGGACAGACAATAAGTCAAAAATAGATATCACAACTTGTAAACACACAACACAATCTACAAATAGATTCAGAATCCGCAAACAAACTCCTCATGATCTACAAATATAAAACATGATCTGCAAATATAAATAAGTGACTTGTACTTGACAACCAGAATTTAAATGAATGCAAAGTGATATGTCTGTGCATGAGGGTCATATTATGTTTGTTGATTGTGTTGCATTTGTTTTCAGAATTTTGGCACTACTGTTTCGCTGTTTTTCCCATAAAACGCCCTCCTCACAATAAAATTGGCATTTTACTGTGGCCAGCCTAAGGCACACCTGTGCAATACCCTTGCTGTCTGATCAGCATCTTGATATGCAAAAGAGAAGTGCTCACTAACACAGAATTTGACAAATTTGTGAACAATATTTGAGAGAAATAGGCCTTTTGTGTACATAGAGAGTCTTAGATCTTTGAGTTCAGCTCACGATGAATGGGTTGCAAAAACAAAAGTGTTGCATTTAAAATTTTGTTCAGTGTAGAATGTGTGTGTGTGTGTGTGTGTGTGTGTGTATGTATGTATGTATGTATGTATGTATGTATATATATATATATATATATATATATATGTGTGTGTGTGTGTGTATGTATATATATATATATATATATAAATTAAATATTTTTTATAGACTTTATACAAGTCTATAAAATCCAGTCTACACAAAAAAAGGAACAGAGCTGTCTATATTTAGCCTCTAATTTCTTAGGCTAAGTTTTCCTTGTGTATGTCCAAAAAAGATCCCAAGAGGTCATCCCATTCTCCTTGTTAGCTGACAGTTTGTGAAGCATAGACTCATAGGATGTGGTCTCCACCATTGCATTATTCCAGTCTCTCAGATTAGGAGATATAGCAGATTTCCAGTGTCTTAAAATAACTCTGGAAGCTGTGACCAAGCCCACCATGATGACAGAAAAGGTTCCCTTTGAGATATTTGGTATTTGCGATCTGTCTCCTAATAGACATACAGCAGGAGTCAGAGGAATCGCTGAGCCTGACCAGTTACTCAAGAAGTCCACAACTTTAATCCAAAATGGACTCACCAATCCACATTCCCATACACAGTGAAGAAAAATTCCTACCTCTGTTTTACACTTCCAACACATATTATCATTCATCAGTTTCATTCTATATAATCTCACAGGAGTATGATAGTATCTATGTATGATCTTATATTGTGTGAACTTGCCTCTTGCCTCTCTTACATACTTTCCACAGTCTGCTGGTATACTTAGCCATTTCTCCTGTGTAAAGTTTGTACTCAGGTCTTGTTGCCATAACATTTTCACATTAGAGGACTCACCACTTACTGAATAGTTTGTTAGTTTATAAAATTGTGAAGCCATGCAGCGTTCGCGTGGCGCATTCAGATGGTCCAGAATATCATTTCCTAAACAATTACCAATTCGAGATTTTACACAGTCCCTAATTTGTATGTATCTCCAAAAATGTTGTTTGCCTTCAAGTTTAAATTGACGCAGTAATTCTCCATATGACACGAATTGTCCATTTTTGTAGAGGTCTCCTATAGTACATATACCATTTGAACACCACTGCTTCCAATACACTGACTTTTTACCAATATGTATGGCAGGATTAAACCACAATGAAGCATATGTCTGCACATATTGTGACACCTTATACATTTTGTGTACCTTATCCCACACTTCCTTAGAGTGAACAAGAATTGGGTTTGTTATAGTACTTCGTTGAGACAGTTGCTCCTTTGGGCTAAATGGCGAACATAACTCCTTCTCAATCTCTATCCAGTCTAGCTTGTTATCTGTCGTTTTCCAATATTTGGCTAATTTAGCCATTTCAAACGATATCCCATATAATCTTGGGTCAGGTAAACCCAATCCTCCTTTCTTCATGGGGCGGCAGAGTTTACTTAGTTTTATCCTTGCTCTTTTCCCGTCCCATAAAAACTGTTTAACTATATTATCATACTTCTTAAAGATGGCGGGCGATATCGTGATTGGCAACATCATAACTAAGTAATTAAATTGAGGAGCTACTATCATTTTAATAATATTGACTTTTCCCCACAGATAAGTTTTATCTTTTGCCACTTCTCCAAGTTTGTTTTAATTTTTTGCAACACTGGATTAAAGTTTAACAAAGGCATCTCTCCTAAGTCTTGACTGAGTTTAATTCCAAGGTACTTCATGCCTTCTGGTACCCACTTAAATTTAAGCTTTTCCACCATGTAACGGTGGCATGAGGAAGTCATGGGCATAGCCTCGGATTTATTCCAATTAATTATGTAACCTGACAATTTAGAGTAGGACTGAATAGTATCCATTAGATATGGTAAAGAAGCCTAAGAGTCTGTCACTACGGCTAAGATATCGTCAGCATATAACAGCAATTTATGTTCCTCTCCCCCGACCTCTACTCCCTTAATACTCCCATTGTCCCTGATACTAACAGCCAGTGTTTCTAGACAAATTATAAACAATAGGGGGCTCAAAGAGCAGCCCTGGCGGGTGCCTTTAGACAGGCTGAAAAAGGGTGATATAACTCCATTGGTAATTACTGCTGCTTTTGGTTCTTTATATAATATCTTTACCCATTTAGAGAAATAGGGGCCAAACCCAAAAGTGGAATAAAGAAAACTCCATTCCACTTTGTCGAAAGCCTTTTCGGCATCTAGGGAAATGGCAACTATTGGCACATTTTTGGATGATGCAAACCACTTAAGATGTATTAATTTCCTCATGTTGTTCGATGAGGATCTGTTCTTCATAAAGACTGCTTTGTTGGGATGTATAATATTGGGTCAGACTTGTTGGAGTCGTAGAGCCAGCACTTTTGTCAAAATTTTAAAGTCTAGATTAAGCAGGCTAATGGGTCTGAAATTAGATGGGTCTGTTATATCCCTGTCTTTTTTTGGGATCAGAGATATTAAAGCTTCATTAAATGTTGGCGGCATATGGCCTTTTTCAAAAGCCTCCTGATAAATCTTCACCAAGACTGGAGCAAGAATGTCTATGTACTCTTTATAATATTACTCCCAGTATTCATTAATGACACAGCTTTCCTTATTTCTGCTACCGTTATAGGTGACTCTAACTTCCTTGCTTGATCAAGGTTAAGCTTAGGCATATTAATGTTAGAGAAGAATGAATTTATTTGACCGTCATTGCAGGACACTGTTGATGTATATAGTTTCTTGTAATATTGTCGGAATGTCTCATTTATATCTTTTGTCGAGGTCACTAATTTAACTCCCCGTTTGATGGCTGAGATGATATTCGAGGAGTCCTTTTCTTTCACTTGTCTAGCTAGTATCTTCCCAGTTTTTTCCCCACCTTCATAAAAATTAGTTTTTAATCTGTTTAAATCGAAGAAAGATTTCAAATCCTCTCCCAGCAATGACCTTTTCCTGTAGTAATGATGAATTCATTCTCCATCTAGTCTTCTTACCCATGTCCATTCTGTGTTTATACATAATTCCAACACTGCGTGATCTGTGATAGCAATAGTTCTTATACTGCAACTAACTACACTGTTTACTAAGGGGCTTGCAATCAAAAAAAAATTCTGGGGTGTGACTTATGACAATGGGGAAAAAAACGTGTACTCCCTCTCCGACGGTTAGTAAGCCTCCAGACATCCACAAGCGCCATGTCATCTTTTAACATATGAATTGCTTCCCTATCTTTGGTCATTAGTGGACCTTTAAACTGACTTTTGTCTAATATAGGGTCCATCACTTGGTTAAAGTCTCCTGCCAAGATAATTTGCCTGTCCATCTCCATGAAAGAAGTGTGGGTCTCCCTTATTAGGTGCATAAATATTACATAGTATCACCTGCATACCTTCTATTAATGCCTGGACACATATCATTCGTCCCTCAGTGTCTTTAACCTCTTTAAGCAACACAAAATGTATCCCCCTGTTAACCAAGATCATAACTCTGTTTCGTGAACTTGAGAATGAGCTGTGAAAAACATACCTCACCCAGCCTGTTTTGAATTTAGCTGCCTCACCCTCATTAAGGTGAGTTTCCTGTATGAAAACTATATCAGCCTTATTAGTTTTTAAATATGACAGTACCTTACGTCTTTTGACTGGATTTCCACTTCCATTAATATTCCATGACATGTACTTAATACATTTCTTAATCATCTTTGTCCAAATGGACCTCCATACCTATGTCTACTTCATTGTTCCTGTTTGAATCACTGAAGGACTATGTCTATGCCTTTTGTGTTCTCATGGTTAAAAATCTTGTACTCTGACAAAATATGAACACTAACATTTAACCTGGAAAAAGAACATTTCCAGTACAAAATACGGAAAAGGAAGACCATAACCAAAGTCAAAAACCTAAATTCAAGCCAGAAACAATCTGACAGTCCTGTAGCTGACATGTGCAGCCTTAAAATGAGAAACTAAAATAAAACCTTATCTGGTCCGTGGGTTACTGCTACTTCTGCTCGAAATCCTCCGTCCTTGGCAGCTGCCAAACAGGTCCCTCTCCTCCAACACCCGTCTTCTCAACATGTATGTGTCTCTTCCATACAAATGTTAAGTATCCACTTATTACCCTTGTCGGATGTTTAGTCATTGCCTTGGTCGTCGTTGTTGATGAATTTCTCCGCCACTGTTGCTGTAGTGAAACTCACATTCTTCCCCCGCCACCTGAACCTCAGTGTGGCCGGGAAGGCCAGCATGTACTTCACCTCCCGCTCTTGCAGTTTGTGCTTCACGGAGGTGA